CTGCTCTGTGCAGACTATGGTTGGGAGTCGCGTTTACCCGTGCGTACGCGTTCCGCGTAGGTATTTATTTATTTATTTATTTATGGTACCCTCAGGGCCCGAAGGCATTACAGAGGGGAGTGGCAATACAAAATAATACAGCAAACGGCAAAACGTAAAGGAAAAGAAGGGAAAATACAAAGCGGTTGGCAAAAAACACACAGTAACAAAGAATTAAATGTAGCAGCGGGAATACATGACAACGATTTTGAAAATATAACACGAAGCAAAATCAAACATCGCAAAACATGTTTTGCAAAAAGGCCCTAAAACGTGATGTGTCGGTAATAGCCGTAGCTGATTGTGGTAGTAGATTCCATTCGGATGTGGTTCTTGGAATGAAGGCATGCGAATAGGTTACGGTTCTGCAGCGGGGAACATGAACTTTTTGTAGATGGTCCAATCTGGGTGATATGAATGAGGGGGGTTTAATAAACTGTTCACGAAGATTTTTGCTATGATAAAGTTTATGAAGGAGACTGAGTCGGGCTATTTTACGCCGAATGGCGAGTTCAGGAAGGTTGAGCTGGGACTTCATTAAGGTAACACTGGCCGTGCGGTTATAATTGGCTAAAATGAAGCGAACTGAACGATTCTGGACTGCTTCTAATTCATGTGTAAGTGTAGTGCCACCAGGATCCCAGACGGATGATGCGTATTCAAGTGATGGACGAATATAAGTAGTGTAAAGAAGTTTCTTAAGGGATGAGGGCGCCATGTAGAAGTTCCTGCGAAAATACCCGAGAGAACGGTTAGCCTTGGCGATGATGTGCTCCACATGGTGGTTCCATGACAGGTTACTGGAAATATGAACACCTAGGTATTTGTAAAATGAAACAGACTCGAGGTGGGTATCATTGAGATGATAATCTGGATACGCAAGTGAGGTGCGGCACACACGCATTGCTTTGCATTTTGAAATGTTTAGTTCCATGTTACATAATTGACACCAGGTAAATATGTTATTTAAATCCGTCTGGAGCGAGGTAACATCATTTTGGTTAGTTATTTTCCGATAAATTACACAGTCATCTGCGAATAGGCATACCTTTGATGAGACATTAGTTGGCAGGTCGTTCATGAAAATTAAGAACAGTAAGGGTCCCAACACAGAGCCTTGGGGAACACCCGAGAGCACCGGCTGGACGGGGGAATCAATATTGTTAGCAGAAACAAACTGTGTTCGGTTGGAAAGAAAGGCTCGAATCCAGTTAAACACGTTAGGGTCTAGGTTTAAGTGTTTCATCTTAAGAAGTAGTAACTGATGACTGACCTTATCGAATGCCTTAGAATAATCTAAAAAAATACAGTCAATGGTGAATCCAGAATCGAGTAGGACATGCAGGTCGTTTGTAAAGACTAAGAGCTGCGTTTCGCAAGAAAAATTCTTGCGGAAACCGTGTTGCGAGGGTGTGAAAAACTGGTTAGACTCGAGAAAGTTAACAAGGTGGGTGAAAATGATATGCTCAAGTATTTTGCACGGGACAGATGTCAGTGAAATTGGACGGAAGTTTGATGGATTGTGTGTTAGCCCTGATTTGTGAACTGGCACTATCTTACCGACCAGCCAGTCTTCCGGAAGGCTAGAATGCTGCAGGGACTGTGAAAAAATGCATGACAGGATAATAGAGGAGTATTCAACAGTGTTCTTCAGGAATTTAGCATTGATACCATCAACTCCACATGATGAGTTTTTAAGTTTCTTAATGACCGCACGAATACCTTCCGAGGTAACGAAGATAGCGTCCATAGGTAGGTAATGGGGTGACGGCAAGGAGATTTGGTTGTTGATGGTCGCCTGGTGAGAGAAAGCTTTTATGAATGTGTCATTTAGTACAGATGCGCATTCTACGTCGGGCACGGGATGCCCTTCAGCTGTCAGCAAGGCTATAGCGCGGCGCTCGCTGCCACGCACGAAATTCCAAAACTGTCTAGGGTTATTTTTCAGCATAACCGGTAGAGTGTGACTAAAAAAGGAAGACTTAGCTCGTTTCACTTCAGATAAATAGGTTGTGGCAGCAGATTTGTAAGTAGACCAACGTTTATCAGACGGGGATTTGACAGCAGCACGATAAAACCTTTTCTTACGGTTTGAAAGGCGGTTTATGTATCTGTTGTACCATGGAGCACGTGTATTGGAAAGAACTTGTTTTATAGGGATATGTTTAACGGTTAGCTCTGAAACTTTAGCTTTAAATAAGTCCCAGTTGCTCTGCACCGATCTTTCAGGGTAGTTGGGTAAGAACTCATCCAGGAATGTGCCCAAATCCTTGTTAATTGAGTCAAAGTCAGCCTTTCTGTAATCCCGTATAGTTTTAAGCTGCTTACGCATGCGTGAGAATGGCAGCAATATATTTGCTTGAATAATATCGTGATCACTGATACCAGGTACAATGGACACTGAAGATACAATATCTGGTTCTGATGTCAATATAAGATCAAGAATGGATGACGTAGTATCGGTAACGCGCGTAGGAAAATTAACAAGCTGCGTCAAACCAAAATCTGAACAGATGCGAATAAAATGCTCCGCTTCCGCTGAGTTAGGCAAGGAATATGAATAAGAATTTGACCACACAATGTTAGGGAAATTGAAATCGCCTAGTAGAATCACAGCTGCGCGAGGAAACAAAACCTTCACATGGCTCAGACAATCATGTAGGTCATTGCAAAAGTTTGCACTTCCTGAAGGTGGGCGGTAACATACGCCAATGACAACTTTTCTAAAAGCCACGCTGAGGCAACACCATGTTGTCTCCAAAACCGAGTCTATTGCAACAGCGTAGTTTTCAATGCTCTCATTCACCGCAAGAAGAACACCACCGCCACATCTATTAGGTCTGTCGCAGCGATATATTTTGTATTTTTTATCACAGCACAGCAGCTCTTCGTTTCGTATTTTGTCGCAAAGCCACGTTTCAGTTACCGCAATAATATCGGCGTTTGAATCATTAACTGCTGCACTCATTTCATCATTCTTGGACAGGAGGCTGCGAACATTAGTAGACAGCACGATCAATTTTCTGTGGTCAACGCAAGTGCCACCACCCCTTGCTTCTTCCTAGCTTCCCGAGGAAGCATTAAATTGTCGACCAGAACGAAGTTGCCGAGAAGAGGAGTTGGCGGCACTAGCGTTATTAGTTACGCGTCTGGATGGCCCGATTTCATGCACTGTATCAGTAACGTAGTCGTAGCCATAACATTTCTCATTTGCAAAAAGTTTGTTATAGCGCACACTGAAAGGGCAATGAAGCTCTTTGGCGAAGTTGGTCAGCATTGCTCTAGTACGGCGAGTGTTAGCAGAAAAATCCTCCCGCATAACCACTTTGCTTCCTTTGAGCATGTGACGTTTTGAAAGAACCATTTCTTTCGTTTTGTAGGTGGAAAATTTTACTATAATCGGACGAACTTTATTAGTGGAAAAGCGGCCGATTCTATGTGCGCATGCAACGTTATCACCAGATAAAGTTAGATCAAGGGACTGGCGAAATAAGCTCAAGATAGTTTCCTCAGTCTGCTGCGTAGTTTCAGAGGCATTGTCTGCGATACCAAAGAATACTAGATTATCCCTCCGAGAGCGATCCTCAGCCTCATCGAGACGCGCACGTAGACCAAGCATGTCGCCCTGCACTTGCCTTGTAAGTTGACCCGTTGCCGTCAGTTCGCGCTGAATGTTGTCTATAATGGATGTCCGCTTTTCAACCGTTTCCAGGCGCGTCAATATGTTGGAAATGTCTTTAGTAAGCGAAAGCTGATGTTGCTTAAGCTCCTGGATGTCACCTGACATTACCGCTTGCGTGGTTTCAATGCGAATTGAACGTTCTTGCATATCTTTCACCATTTTATGTATTTCAGTAATTTGATCATCCTTGGGTCCCGGGTTCTGCTCGACATCACCACATATTAACAACAAAAGGTCACAAAAAGGCTGTAACAGGGCTTCTGGGCATGGAAGCACCATAATAAAAGGGTTGTCAGATCGAAAGCTCCTACACGGTAGTCTGTTAAAATAACTGACCTGCAAAACGTAGGGAAGCATGAATGAGTACATGCTTCTGCCGATGCTTCCATGCCCACTGCCGGTGGCATGCGTGCAACACGGTTTTAAAGGGGCCAGTGGTGTCGCTGTCGTCGTGGCCGATGACGATTTTGCTGCGGCACGTGCGAGATCCCTCCCCTCGAAGAACCAGCTCTGATGAGATAAAGTGCAGAGCACCGGACCCTGGGTTGCATCCAGGTAGGCGCCGTTAGCAGTCGAAGGGAAAGTCACGCTGGAACGTACGCTGAGCGGTAGCAATGCTCCGGCGCTGGCTGTACTCAGGCACTCAACGAGAAACTGCAAAACGTAGGGAAGCATGAATGAGTACATGCTTCTGCCGATGCTTCCATGCCCACTCTGTATTGCCCACTCGGTATTGCCGACACCGCCGACTGTGTACACTGCGGAGACAAAGAAACAATTCGACATATCCTGTGTGACTGCCCGAAATACGACCTGAAAAGACATCACAATTCTAATACACTAAACAGGTTACATGACTGGCCGCTGTCAGAAGAAAGTATAGTGCGCCATCGTCATGACCCATCGTCACAGAAGAAAGCCGTGCAAGCGCTATACTTCTTGCGAACTACTGGCCTGTCGGAACGCCTCTGAGTGGACTGATTTTGCGTTAGCGCGTGTGTCGGTGTTTTTCTCTTATTTATTTTTTAACTCTCTTTTTCTCTTTAAACCCCCTATTCCCCATCCCCAGTGTAGGGTAGCATACCGGATACTAGCATCTGGTTAACCTCCCTGCCTTCCTCTTTCTTGTTTCTCTCTCTCTCTCTCTCTCTCTGTAATGCTAACAAATGTTTTGAGAAATAAATGCAGCTTTGAGAAAGGAATGAGTTTGTCGATGCTGTAAAGATGGATCTCGTAATTTTTGCCACATTGTTTTTTCTTTTTTTTCACCGTTACACAGCAAGAAGGCACCGAGGACGTGTACTCCTGGTGGCACGACGAAGTCAGTTGTCAGAGCACAGACTGCGACGTCGTCTGGGTTGAAGCCGAGGACCCTCTGTTTCTGCTCTACACGAGGTTAGGCTTAACAGAATTGTTCTGATTACTTTTAGAGTTGGCTTTGTGGCAGAGCGAATGTGCCAATGGTGAGAGACAGCTTTACGGTGGAGCTGGCTGTGGTAAGAGATGAATTAACGAATATTGATATTTCACGTTTCCAAAGAACCGAACGTCAAAATTAAGATGCCCTGGTAAGCCAATGCATTTTTAGGAACGAATTTTTCTCTCTCAGATCACCACGAAAATAGCAGCTCGATGATATTACGCCCTGCCAACTCGGTTGGAGAACGTTCGTCTGACAAGGAGACTAATTTGTACTGAATGCATTTGCTGGGGCTCAAGGGAGGAGGAAAGCCGGGAGACTAGACCTGCCGAAGACTCGCCCCCTCAGGCGGCAAGCAGGTCTTCAGTCTCGGCGGTGTCTTTGGCTAGCGGGACTGGCTAGAAATGATTTTCCGGGCACGCGTTGACCATGGCATAGCCTCCCACTGTTCGATTGGTCAAAATGTCGAACTTGAAATTTCGCCGACGAAAAAGGAACATTGCAGTTTCCGAATGGTCGCAACGTTTTTGCTGTTAATGTACGTGTAGTTAAACGTACATTCACGAAAAAGATAGCCCATAAGAACTTGTCGTAGTTATCTAAAATGTATGGGGAAAACTATCCTGTAACAACCTCCACGGGCCCCTACCTCCATGGAAATGCGACCGGTGTGACCAGGATCGAGTCCTGGACCTTCGCGTAAGCAGCCGAGTACACTAACCACTGCACCACAGCGGCGGACAATTACGAAGCCATTGGGAAATGCTTCGGCATTAGGAAACGTACTACCCACAGTGTAAAAAAAATTCGGCAGATCCCACGTACCTCGGGAATCGACGTTATGCGAAGCACGCGGAGGGAAGGTGACCGTGTTGTAATTTTTTTTATTAAGTGAGACGTAATGGAATGACGTTAAATATGGGTCCAAATGTTGCACGCACAGACATATGTTGAGCAGTTGCATATGTTTATATAACCAGTTGCTTGCACTTGCACAACTGTGTCAACAGGAACATGAGTCTAAGCAACACCAGAATCGATAAGCTGACATGAAGCACTAGTGCTCGCAAGGATGGTAGCTTTGGGCACTGCTACACAAGTCAACTACAGCGCATGGCATCTAACTACAATTGACGTTAACACGATATGACGGCTGTATATGACGGCTTGTAAAGTTGGATAGCCAGCACTGCAGTCTCAATTTTCAAGTAGACCCTAATATTCCACGAACATTAGGGTCTACTTGGAAAGTAGTTTGGAGACCTTTCGTTGCTCCGTGGTAGATAGATAGATAGATAGATAGATAGATAGATAGATAGATAGATAGATAGATAGATAGATAGATAGATAGATAGATAGATAGATAGATAGATAGATAGATAGATAGATAGATAGATAGATAGATAGATAGATAGATAGATAGATAGATAGATAGATAGATAGATAGATAGATAGATAGATAGACACTAGATAGATAGATAGATAGATAGATAGATAGATAGATAGATAGATAGATAGATAGATAGATAGATAGATAGATAGATAGATAGATAGATAGATAGATAGATAGATAGATAGATAGATAGATAGATAGATAGATAGATAGATAGATAGATAGATAGATAGATAGATAGATAGATAGATAGATAGATAGATAGATAGATAGATAGATAGATAGATAGATAGATAGATAGATAGATAGATAGATAGATAGATAGATAGATAGATAGATAGATAGATCCTTAATACACGGCTTCGAAGGTCATTTGCAACAGTATACTTTTTAGACAGTTGACATGGGATATGTGAGGTAAGAAGAGAGAGGACACAACTTTATTGTCGTTAGTCGTTATGGAGGCAGTTGATCCGGCAGGCTCAGCTTGGTGGCCACTCCCTCTGCTCTCTGTGTAGCCTAGAACTGGACTCCCTTACGCCCTGCCACGTCTGAAGGAGCAGCCAGAAGATTGGGAATCGGAAGGTTTTCTGTGCCGTCCCGGAGAAAGTGGTGAAGCGTGGCTATTGACGGTCAATGTGAGCAAATGTGGGTCAGTAGTGTCGGAGTATACACGTGAATAACTGTGCGGTCATGTGAAAAATGTGTTCGCAGTCGGTGCCATGGCCTTCTAGCGCTTGGTCAACTTATGGTGCGGATATCATACGCGGTAAGCTTGCAGGGTAAAAAAAAGTATAGTTACATGCAAAACAAAGGAAACGACAGAAGTTGAAATACGCTAACGACGTAGAGAAACTGGGACTAGTCTTTAAGCTAAAGATGTAGAAGAACTGGGAACAGTCTTTACTGCCTCACAGACGTCCACATACGTTCTCTCACAGACGTCCACACATGTCGCCTATTTTTATGAAACCGGCGGAAGACTCGCAGCAGAGCTTTGCGCAAAGCATTCAGCAGATGGCGCAATGCATAAGTGCCTCACCAAGTAAACAGTTCTTGTGGGCTTGCGCGCATGCAGGCTCAACAAATAAGGCATGCACTTTCACGCAAATCGAACTTCTCCCGATTTCGCAGTGGTTCGACGGGCCGTCCCAAGGGCGTCATCCACACGACGGCCGGCTACGTGCTGTACGCGCTGTCCACCATCTACTACACATTCGACTACCGACCCGAGGACGTCTTCTTCTGCTCCGCCGACGTCGGATGGGTCACGGGACACACCCACGTCGTGTACGGCGTGCTCGCCAATGGCGCCACAAGCGTGCTTGTGAGTATCTCCCCCTACCCCGTGGAGGATTCCCTCCACCGCTTTTCGCAGAGGCGCGTTCAACTTTAATTGTGCTGAGACATTAGTGTGCCTTGTGTTTTTCGTTACATTCCCCGTAATGCTGAATGCATTTACGTACAATTTGTAATTTTTCTACAAAAAAAAATGTTTCGTAGAGGTTAATTACCGCAGAAGTAAACTTTCATTATGTTCTCAGAAGCACTCTGAAATGGTATTTATGTATTATTTATAATCAAATACAATCAAGAGTTTGACGAAATTTGGCTCGTCTGGTTGGGAGTAATCATGATCAAAAAGTAAAAACAAGACGTTGAGCGAAAAACACTTTAGATATAACACGGACGTTCCGGCTCGCGTACGAGGGTCCTTTTCACAAATGTCCTGCTTTTATTTTTTGACCATGTCTTATTTATGAGTTAGTTCTGCGCCTAGAACGAAAAAAAAAGTATTAATCAGCATCAAGGTAACCAGATAAACTGCAGGAATACTGATATCTCCATTCAGCTTACTAATTGTAGCGTCCTATGGAACCGTGAGCAAAAGACATGTTTGACAGTTACCCAGGGGGAAACATCAGACTGCTCCCCCAATGTCTGCCTTACTAACTTTTTTGTCTTATCTCTTCACAAAACAGTTACACTGTTGCGTTTTGTTACTGCTTATCAAATATTTGCCGGGAAGCTCAACTGATAGGGAGGCTTAACACGTTTACAGTTCGAAGGAGTGCCCTTCTATCCCGACCCCGGACGTTTCTGGGAGATCATCGACCTGTACCAGGTCACCAAGTTCTACACAGCGCCCACTGCTATTCGCGCCCTCATGAAGTACGGCGACTCGTACGTCAAAAAGTGAGTCAATTCTATTTAATTTTATTGCCCAGTTTAATGCTCTTGTACTTATCCTGTCGACCCACCGATTCAACTTACGCTTATTTTGGCCTCAGGTTTTAGCGCATTTAAGACGTTTTTCTTTGCATTTATAATTCTTGCGGTTATGCGTAGTCAGCGTATATGCAGGGTAGTACAAAAAAGAAGCTCAATAATTTGAACTCGAAGGGGACTAAAAATTCTTTTTGAATGAAGCTGAGTTCGAATTTGCAGGTGGGCTCTAGAATGAACGGGCATTGTGTTTCACCGCAATGACAAAAACCCAAAGAAGTCAACTCTGGACGGGTTATCGCAAACTAGCTACCACTACACGTTTGCGGCAGGTGATTTCGCAAATTAAGTTTATTTCGTAAAAGCGAACATAAATTATTGATCAGCCAGTTATGCATAAGAAACAAGCATGGCCATGCATTTATGTGTACAGTGAGCCTAACGTCAAAATACATGACGTTGTTTATGCCCCAAAACATGTTTACTTACACGGCTAAGTTACCACAGTCAAACTTATACGCAATCAGCAGTTTGCATTTTCTCGCGCATTTGTTTGCAGCTTACCCGAGAGCATCAGCACAGCACCAGAATTCTCATCAGCTGAGAAATGCTGCTGTTCCGTTGCTTTGCACTCCTAGTAAACGCACATTGGTTTCAGCATTCAACGCACTGCGAATACTTCGGGCCAACTTTTGACATGAGCGACGAAAACCGGGGACGCCTAGTTTGAGTTATTCGTTGCGGATACCAACGTGTTCGAATTGTCGGAAGTTTTCCCCCATAGAAATACACAGAGCTGTGCCGACACCAAGGCGTCAGTTCGAATTACCCGTAAGTTCGAATTCACCAAGGTAGATTTAAGGACGTTTTACTGTATCCAAACGAGTACTCGTGGGTCGAAGCACCAAAATAATACGTAACGTATATTTATGCTAAGTAGTACACATATTTGTGTTTCCATTCTCTTAAATTCGTGTCATGTCACCGTGATTTTAAACTCGAACACGTACCTCTCGGCCGGTCCCCTCTTTTGGAAGTAATAAAGTTTTGATCATCATCATTGAAGACGTATGTTAGAGCCATTAGTGGTCAGGGCCCACCGTTATAAAAATGTCTTACGCAAACAATTTTCGTAAGAAATTATAACAATATTTTAGCCAATCATGATGTCAGACATATCGCTAGCGAAGCTGGCTGACCGATGGAGAAATGCACTTAAGAAAGAAGTTTTGTGAATTTGGGCTTAGATTCGCAGTGATATATACGACGTGGTTATCTCGAGACATTGAAAAAAAATTATGTCGAGTTTTACATCGTGAAGAGTTTGCATGCTTGTGACTGGGCAGTCAGCCGTCTGAAGGAAATACACTGCCACTTTTTTGTGGAGGGGGTTGTTATGAACAGTGTTAACGAGAACAAACAGACAATGAGGTCAAGGAAAGTATCGGAGACGTTATTAGTAGTGACATTTGACCGTGGTTTTACATACCGAAACCACAATACCATTAAGAGAGACGCCGTCGAAGGCTCCGGAAGTTTCGGCCATGTGGCGTTCGTTATTGTGCACTGTCATCGCGCAGTATAGTACACGGGTCTCTGCCACTTCACCTCCGTCGAAATGCGACCGCAGCGGCCGGTATCCAACTCGTGATTTCTGGGATGTTGTTAAAATTAATTGTGATGCAAATGCGAAGAAAGAAAAGTGGACGAAGAGATAACTTGTCACCAGCAGGATCAACCTTCTAGTAACGCGTCCCGATGATCTACCACTGAAGTACGGCGGCGGTCATTCCTCCATCCACTTTATCGGTTATATATGTGCATCTAAACGTGTGAACGTCAGTAAGTAATGTTATGTTTAAAAAAAAAAAACGAGCCTTAAGTTTGCGCTTCTTTCCTTGTTATGAGCAAGTTCTTTCGAGAATACCACGCAGACGTGCCTACAGAAATACTCCATAAAACAATGAGCATGTGGACATAGAGCAGAAAATGGGCTAAACGCAAGGAACCATGTGTGCAAGTACACGTAAACGGCTGCATTTACTCATTTGCATACGTACACGCACACAAACATTCGCCAGCGCGCACGCAAACAAAACATATGCACGCGCGTAGTTCAGCTCCAAAGCTGTCGCAGTAGCATTAGAAAAAATGTTTTGGCATTCAAATTCACAGTTTGCGAATGCGTTGCACAATGCACTCAAGTACGGCGAATTGTCCGTATCATGTTTGCGCTAACAAAATGACGTCAAGGCATTTGGTAACGGCTTTATAAGCCATGAGTTTCCTGCAGTGAACTGCAGGAAGTCAAAGGTCTCGTGCCACGTAAACCGAGCCTTCGGCCACGCTCAGTGTGCAGTTACATAACAAACAAAATGTTATAGCGGCTTTCCTGTGGCGGTACTGGGAGCATTTCTAAGTGAGATTATATTACATTAGAAACACGCGTGTTAAGAAAGAAGCATCGTTGATTTTACATAACGACAGCTATTTGTAGAACCGACATACTTGGGCAGCCTCGCACAGCATAACATTTCATGGTAAGGAACAAGGTGCCGATCAACAAGACTGCTCCTGCGTAGATCTCGAGCTCTTTTCAAGTACATTGTGTATACTCGTGTATATGTGCGTAGGAAACAGACAGAATTGAAGAGTATACGCTCGTTTTTTTCTGTTTTTGTTTTATTTTTGTTACGTGCTGCAGTAACATTATATGCGATCTTGCCAAGTCTGCACCTTACCTCGGCTACGTAGACAAATTATTGTTGATCCTTTGATAACAATAGTTGCTGAAGCTTCACGTCTTATATCTGGTTTGATATTGACGGACGCCGTAGTGGAGGGCTTCCGACCAACTGTGGTTATTCGAGGTGCGTCCAAATCGAAGCACGTGAACCATTTTGTTGCCACCGAAATGCAATCGCCGTGGCTGAGATTCGATCCTAGGACATTCGGGTCAGCAGTCGGGTACCATATAGACCACCGCGGCGTCTGTCTAACATTTGTTCTAGCTTACTCGTCTGAACGTGGGTGTCACATGTAAGACAAGGTGATTTCGTCTCACGAGCAGCACATACCCTCGTTTCGCAGACACAGTCGAAAGTCCCTGAAGCTGCTGGGAGTCGCGGGCGAGCCCATCGGTCCGGACGCCTGGTTCTGGTACCACCACGTGGTCGGCGAGTGTCGCTGCATGGTACTGGACACGTACTGGCAAACGGAGACGGTAAGGAGCAAAAGAAAAACAACTGATATAATAATCAATGTTTTAAGATATTCATACCAGTGCGTCCTGCGTGTGTGTTCGCATATCATCACACCCTAACTCGTGTTCCTTGTGCGATGACTTGCATCATGCAAAATATGGAACACATGAAAATTAAAAAAACGACTTCTACTGGCCTCAGTGACTAATTGTGGCGTCACCCTCACCCCCCCCCCCCTTTCCGCCCCGAATTAAGCGGCACTCTTCGTGTTCTATACCCTTTCTTTTTTGTTGATTCAATGTCCCCCAGTACAGGGTAGCAAACCAGACACACTCCTGAATGACCCACCTGCTTTGTGTTTTTCACGTTTCTCTTTACCTCCACCAAGAAAGTTTTAGAATCATTGGCGAATTATTTCAGTCTATTTTCTTACACAAGGGTAGCTTATGTGAAACTTTATTACAGTTTTCTTCTGATTTTCGCGTTTTTCTCGCAGTAATCCTGCAAGATTTCTTTTGTAATAATCTTAATAAGAACAATTCAAATAACACTGAATTCTGAAGGTCAAATATTTGGCAGTGTATACAAGTCATTGTTCTAAAATGTGGCAATGCTGATGCTTGTGGAGAGTCATATAGTACGCCAGGACAAAAGATAAAAAAAGAAAGGGAAGCATAGAGATGAACAAATCTCGTTATTTCTCCTTTTCGCATACAGACACACGCATCTCCTTTTGTTAGTTGCGGAGGTCGCTCATAGATGGCGTACCTGACAGTTGCAGCGAACGTTTGCATTGCGGAAGCGCCGAGGCCCGAAGCTGATGCATGCGTCAGCTGGTTGAGCGGTTGAAATATGCAAGAAGCATATAGAGGAACAAAACACACCCAGTGGATAGATGCGGGCAATAATATCACAAGTACAGCAGAAGACAATATGACAGGTGCAGAGTACTAGATCACTAGATTAGGATTAGTTCGTACGTGGTAGCTTAGAACAACTGTGGGTCACAACGAGTGAGGTATTAAGAAAAGTTCAAACATTTTTACAATTATTTATGTGTATATCAACATGCACCCATACAAACGCACTCACGAACATATATTAAAAATACGGTTGATATCTTCCTCCCTCCCCTTTTCTCCAAAAAGATGTCTGGCTACGCTACTGGTAGCCAGTAAATAATCAGCTTAGTTTACTATTCCAGGATTTGGTAAATAAAACTCCTTGTCCTTCCTTGTGCGCCATGCCACCTGCTTCTCGTAATCAATGAAGGCTATGTATAGTGGTTGGTTGTATTCTGAGCGTTTCTCTATTACCTGATTGATAGTTTGAATGTGGTCGATGGTTGAGTAGTCTTTTCAAAATCCTGCTTGTTCTTTTGGCTGATTGAATTCTACTGTTTTCTTAACTCTGTTAGCAATTACCTTTGTAAATAGCTTGTATTCTATGGAGAGCAAGCTGATCATCCTGTAATTCTTCAAGTCCTTGTCATCTCCTTTCTTACGTATTAAGATGATGTTAGCATTTTTCCAAGACTCTGGTACTCTTCCCGTCAGGAGACACCTCGTAAACAGAGTGGCTAGCTTTTCTAACACAATATGTCCTCCATCTTTCAGCAGATCTGATGCTACCTGATCCTCACCAGCAGCTTTGCCTCTTTGCATGCCCTCCAAGGCTTTTCTGACTTCTTTTATCATGACTGTTGGGGCGTCATCTGGTTCACTGCTAGATTTTATTGTATTAAGGTCGTGGTTGTCCCGGCTACTGTACAGATCTCTGTAAAACTCCTCCGCTATTTTAACTATCCTATCCATATTGGTAGTTATTTTGCCTTCTTTGTCCCTTAGTGCATACATCCAATTTTTCCTTATTCCAAGTTTCCTCTTCCCTGCTTTGACGCTTCCTTCGTTTTTCAGAGCGTGTTCAACTCTCTCTATCTTATACCTTCTTACATCGGATACCTTACGCTTATAATCAACTTGGAAAGCTCTGACAGTTCTGTTTTGTCTGTTGTACTTTAGACTTTCATGCTTTGACGCTTCTTAATGGTATTCTTCGTTTTCCGGGAAAGTTTGCCAGTGTCCTGTCTAACTACCCTGCCTCGAACTTCCGCTGCACACTCCGTTATGATACTCGTCAGATTATCATTCATTGTATCCACGCTAAGGTTGGTTTCCTCAATGAGCCGAGTACCTGTTTTGAAGTGAGACTCTGAATTCCTGTACTCTCCCTCTCAGTGCTAGCTCATTGATTGGCTTTTTGCGCATCAGTTTCTGTCATTCCTTCTTCAAGTCTTGGCGAATTCGAGACCGTACCGTTCTATGGTCACTGCATCGTACCCCGCCAACCCCTTCCACATCCTGCACGATGCCAAGGTGTGCACTCATGATAAAGTCTATTTCGTTCTTATTTTCGCCATTAGGGCTCCTCCATGTCCACTTACGGTTTCCTCGTTTTCGGTAGAAGGTATTAAAAATCCGTAAATTATTGCGTTCTGCAAATTCTACTAGTAGCTCTCCTCTGGCATTTCTAGTACCGATGCCATAATCTCCTACTGCCTGGTCTCCAGCCTGCCTTTTTCCTACCTTTGCAATAAAGTCTCCCATCAGTATAGTATACTGTGTTTTTAGCTTACTCATTGCCGATTCCACGTCTTCATAGAAGCTTTCAACTGAAGTGTCATCATGGCTGCATGTAGGCACGTAAGCCTGTACCACCTTCAACTTGTATGTCTTATTCAGTTTAATTACGATACTTACCACCCTTTCATTAATGCTATAGTATTCCTCTATGTTGCCAGCTATGTTTCTGTGAATTAAGAACCCCACTCCCAGTTCTCTTCTGTCAGCCAAGCCCCGATAGCAAAGAACGTGCCCATTCTGTAGTACCGTATAGGCCTCATCTGTCCTCCTAACCTCACTGAGCCCTATTATATCCCGTTTAACACCATCTAGCTCCTCGAATAGTACTGCCTCACTAGACAAGGTTCTAGCATTAAACGTTGCCAAGTTCAGGTTCCAATGGTGGTCTGTCCGTATCTAGAGATTCTTAGCACCCTCTGCTGCGTTGCAGATCTGACCACCGCCGTGGTCAGTTGCTTCACAGCTGCTGGGGACTTAGGGCCGTGAGTTTATTGACGTATGCATGTGGTAGGTAGCGGCCAGATACCGCACAAGGGTGTCCAATCCTTCTCTGGTGATAACCCCCCCCCCCCCTGTTAGCTCGGGTCCTTGGTGTCACTACACACCAAACGCCTGCTTACGCATACGCCCCTGTGGGCCTGCATGCACTAACATGCACTTAAGATTCATATTGCGGCGATACACAACCATTGCTACTTCAGGAAACGCTTTTTTCTAAAGTGATCGTTGCTCCCCAGGGTTCGATAATACTTACGAAGGATATTATTTACGTTCGGGAGCGCATATGAGTAATTCGTTTTAAATTCTGGTAGCTGGTTAGGTTATGCTACGTTTTACTAGCTAGAGTTGTTTTCGTATTTAGTTTACATGCTTCGTTATAGACTTTGTTTAGTGTGCCTTGTGGGCAATTTCTTTCAACTAATGTTTCTTTTAGGTTACTTACGTGGTGGTCGTAATCACCTTCGTTGCTACAGATTCTTACACGCCGCGCCTGTCCGACAAGAATCCCTTGTTTGCAGTGTCGCGGATGGTGACTAGTATAATCTAGGTATTGTTGGCTGTCTGTGGGGTTTCTGTAAAGCGTCGTCTTTAGTTTTTCTGCTTCGATAGATTGTCGTATCTAGGAAGTTAATTTCACTGGGAGAATGATTCACATTAGGAGAATGGTGCAACAGATTTCCCTTTCGTGTTGTACCGATTCCTACGACGGAGGGATAAACCATGTTTTTTTTTCCTTATTTTCTTCTTACGTGCAGCCCTCGAGGCAACTTCATGTTTTACTTGTCGATCTATTGGGTAATTACTGTTTCCTTTTTTTTGTCTTTTTTCTCACGTTAAAACAGGGTGGACAGATGATAACTCCTCTGCCAGGCTGCACACCACTGAAGCCGGGAGCAGCGGTGAGTGAACATTAATACCTTGTAATTCTCTGTTATCGAACTTTCTTCAGACGCAGTTTCTGCTTACTACAACCAGCGTTGTTGCATAAGCTTGAAATCAGATGTATCAGTTTCATTTTGCTTCACCTGTCACAATGAAATGTCATTCGCACGTTAACCCTAACGTTCACTTTACCACGATCATTTGAATCAGTGAAGTTTGTTAATCTAATAAACTTCAACAAACAAAAAGGTTGATAGGTTGATGGTAAAACTTGTAGCGCACAAGAGAAAACGGACGAAGCAAGTGACGATGGGACGATGCGCTTTAAGCATCTTAACAGCTCGCAGCTGGTCATCTTAGTCAGCATGGCAGGACTTGCGGTCGCGCACCTTCGCTTGATAACTGCACCGTATCTGGCACTAGTAATTACAAGACAACCCGTGAGATCCCAGAAGCAATCGAAATCACGAAAGCGGGAGCTTTTTGCCAGCACAGTTTCTATTGACCTGACCGAAAGAGTTTGCATTCCTAAACAAACCGCAGTGGCGTGGATTTGCACGTATCAACTAGTCACTCTGAATTATCAAGGTGCTCCCGCCCTTCAGTTATCATTTCGTTTGATGCGCTTCGGTGGCCTAGCCGGGTCCCCGAGCACGCACGGGACGTGTATATTTCCCTCCCGTTCAATAAGCATTCTGCTGGAACGAAGTGCATCGTTTCGTCGCTCTGTCAGTTTTTTTTATTTTTTTTTTTGCGCATGCGTTACAATTTTTACCCTGTATCACCACTAACAACTCCACTTTCGCGTTCTTGCTAGTTGAGAAATTGTTTCCAAAATATCTCTCTAGTATCCAAACATATATTTATGCAAATGTTGGCCTGCCACGTAATGTTATCTTTTTAACACTGAAGTCCTATTTAGGCTTTTTGATATTACGGGCTCTATTGTGCAATGATTTCTCCCAATTTTCTAATTTTTTTTCACTCATCGAATTGAAGCAACGCCTCCGCTGTTATCATAAAGCATAACATCGTATCACGAGTGACGAAAAGCAAGTAAATAAGAAGCGAAAACAATCCTTTTGATAGGCAGTATCAATCAACGAGAGTGGAGACTTGTTACTGCGATATTAAAAGGTGTTGTAGCAGCACAAGCAGCAACAGCTTGCAGTCTCAGCGTACACAGCGTCGTATCGCGGCAATAACTTAGTTTCATCCCCATTTGCGCAGACCCTACCGTTCTTCGGCGTGGCGCCAGCCATCCTCGACCAGGACGGCAATGAGATCAAGGGTCCGGGAGAGGGCTACCTGGTGCGTGCCAATACACTTCGTTGCTTGATCTTCATTTGTTCTGTGTGTGCACGCATCTCTGAGAAAGCTTTCACTCATTTCTACCAGTCTTAAGCTTGCCTAAAAGTGTTTTTCTTTTGTTAAGGACAAAGTAAATGTAGTTCAACATACAACTGTGTTGTGGACCATGCACAAAATGCCAACGAAGCTTGTCGTGGTCTATGTACCATTTAACAGGCAGCTACGAAACATAAATAAAATAGGGGAAGCCTGAAGCTTCGCCTTTAGGAGTTGAACGTTTATAGTGATGTCCTGATCCTAGTGCGCACTTCAAACACTTAGTGCATGAAACATTTTCGAAGTTGCTATGCACCCCCTACGTGGCCTTAAGGGAATAGGCACAGTAGCATGTGTGCCGTTTGTAGTGGATGACCAGCTTTAAACCACGAATCCACTAAGATAATGTAATACTGTGACGCCCGTTGTTAATAGGCTCTTGTACCGCACATTATTACTGCAATATTTCATGTTGCATTGTGTAGCATGTATACAGTGCACGTGTGTTTGTGAAGCATGAAAGCTTCTTTCACAGCTTTTGAAAGCAGAGGAAGTTCTTTTCAGTGCATTCACGTGCACAAGCATGACCTTGTGGTCGAACATCTGCTTGCAACGCAAACGACCTGGGTCTATACCCATTCAGCCCAAAACACCCTGGTTCGGTTCCCACTCTTCTCCAGTGTTTTTTTGTCATCTATTTATTTTATTTGCATCATTCTCCATTTTTCAGTCGCGCATATATGATGATTTTTCGCTCACAACCAACAACGCCGACGCCGGAATTTCTGTGATACGAGCTTTTTAACGCTATCGCGTTAGAGAATAACTTGAAAGCACCACGGTATAAAAAATAAAACATACGAACACATAACATTGGCATTACTATAATGATAAACATATGAAAATACAATTTACTTTTATCATGCTTTCATGAGGAAATACTATAGAACTATTAGAAGGCTCCTAAGCGTTGCCTTTAAGAGTAAACGCGATTGTGGTATACGCAAGGAGGATTGTGAGAGAGCGTGCGCATGTAAACACACACTCGCACACTAGCGCCTTACCAGTCATTAGCCATACCGTCTATTCATGCTTCTCCGCAGAGAGCTAAAGTGTGCTGCAAAGAAATCCAACGTGCAAACACCCTGCAGCTGCTAATATTTATCGTATCTACTTCGAATTTTCACTTACGGCCAACGCTGCTTTCTCGCTTGTATCTAAAGACGATATCGCATTGAAGAGCGAAGAATACGACATACACAATGCTTGGATTCCAGTGATACAGTGAGTCAAGTCATCAGTACATTATAGAAAATTGAAGAATAGTCACAAAATACACACGGCACTAGATGGGCAAATTTCTTGGTCCAAGTACATCGAATCATGGATTTATTACAGGTTGTCAAGAAACCTTGGCCTGGCATGATGCGGACTCTGTACAAAGATCACGACCGCTTTCAGAAGAGCTACTTCGCAAAGTTCCCCGGATACTACTTCACTGGCGACGGTGAGTGAGAACCAGTCATGCTCCATAGTAACGTAGACGTGAACGACTTCACACACACACACACACACACACACACACACACACACACACCACACACACACACACACACACACACATATATATATATATATATATATATATATATATATATATAAAGAACACAAGCGAGTACACGTACGAAAGAGCAATACTTTTATGCCAACGTTTCAGCCGTGGCACGGCCTTCGTCAGGGAATGACGAAGGCCGTGCCACGGCTGAAACGTTGGCATAAAAGTATTGCTCTTTCGTACGTGTACTCGCTTGTGTTCTTTATACGTACCAGACCCCTTGAACTTCCTGCTGAATATATATATATATATATATATATAAATATATATATATATAAATATATATATATATATATATATATATATATATATATATATATATATATATATATATATATATATATATATATATATATATATATATATATATATTGCAGCGGAAAATACTCTCAGAATTATGCCGTTTCATGTGTACTGCAGTTAAGTTCGAGATTCTTGTTTCAAGAAAGAATGTTAAGTACTGACGATTTCAGGGATACGCTACCCGAATTTATTTATTATTCCTAATAATATTGTGACACTGAGGCGGCTATGGCTCTATGCATCGTAGACGAGCCCTATGACTGCAATCGAAGTGCGAAACCTCGTTACAAATAGTGAAGTGGTATGTCATAACAATTTGCACTTAGGAACGACCGCACTTCACGCAGCTGTGGTTGTTATTATTGCGCAACAAAATGAACAACGTGAAACGGGTCGTAAGGGACCATGAAACTTGACTAAATATGTGACCCGAAACATGTGGCTATCTCGCATTGTTTTGGCACTAGTACAAAGTGGATCATCATTGCTGCAAGCCTCTCTGCCCTCCCCCCTCCCTTTTTTTTTGTAACTAAGCCTGTCTCTGTCTCTCTTCCCTTTCACACAACTGGCAGTCTATTCAGGTGAGCCAATGCCCACTGTAAGAATTTACCAGTTATTGTGGTAAGGAGTATGACCTAATTTATCCGAAAAATTGTGCACTATGCTGTAGAGTACAAATGTTTGAAGAGAAACGAAAGGAAGAAAGTTGATGCTAAACTTGACTCATGCCATGTTCAAAATTTATTCTTAAAGGGGCCGTGCAGCACTTTTTGAGCATGGTCAGAAAACGCTGCTGATCGGTAGTAGAGGCTCCCGACAACGCGCGAGCCAAATAATATCGCGCAGCCCATGGCCTGGAATTCACAATAAATTATCAAAGTGCGCTAAAAATAGTTTTCTATTCTCTAGACAAACCACAGAAAATAAGCCCAGCAAGCCCATCTATGAGCCATTGGCTGATTTGAACATGCCGCGCTCGGTTGTTACAGAGGTCGCCGTGAGGGGCCGTCACTTGTCCACACGTGCGCGCGCGATCGCACTGAAAAATCTGCGTATTCGTAGAAACAAAAATTAAAAAAAATGGCCACGGTCACGAGGTGTGAGTGACATTTTTTGTTTGCCCCTCCCATCCCTCCCTGTTCAGCTTCCAGTGCTTTCGTCGGGACGACAGAATGTGATTGCAGCGTGTGAAAAATCTTCGTAACTCCACTCGAACTGGCAGGATTCTTAAAATTTTTGCGGCGTTGAATTCGTGAGGTAATACGCTTTTCCAGTGAATAAATTGCATGGTTACTGAAAAAGTGTTTCAGAGACCCTTTAAGAATGAGTAAAGCGTGCTTCTCCTTCTACATTTAATTGTTGCGGCAAAGCCCAACTTTTTACCCTAATGAAAGTAGCAGTCAAAGTCGACTGCATCGAAGTGCAGTAAATCGAATTATTTTTTATATGCATCATGATATTCCCGAACACGGCAATGCTTCTACGTCAGTGCAAAGCAAAATCTTTGGCTACATAGAACAAAAACTTTCGGAACACTTCATATATCGATGCTCTTCATGAAGCTCGCTTCGTAGAAGTTGAATGCCCGCCAAGCATAAAGTAAAAAGCTCTCGTTCAGGAGAAATACTGTTCACATCTATGCCGTCTTTTTCTGCATGTGATATGTGTCTGCATATCACTCGCGCCACCAGTTATTTATTTCACAAAAATAAAAATAAAGAATACCCACGTGTTGTTGTGAAGCTGCCTTCAATACGTTATGAAAAATAGTGCTGTTAATTAAGCCAACTTGCTCGCTGATACTGGAACTGCAAATACGATAAATTGTTTCAAAGCTTTTTATCAAACAATGGGGCATATCTAACTAATTACCAACTCTTTGCAAATTCAGTATATGCGGATATGAAGATATGTGGTTTTCGCAGCTGCAGAGCTCTGTTATTCGACGAAACAGGCACAATGCGTTGCAGTGAACTGAAGGGATAATTTAGGCGGTTGTAAAGTGTCTGCGGTGTGAATTGTCACGCACACCATCACACGAATACAGGAGGAAAAAAACAAGTAAACACGAAGAGCGAAAGCTATCAAACTATAAAAATGGTAGTTGCGTTCCTTTTGTCTACATCGTTTTTTTTTTTCCTTTCTATATTCACCCCATTGTATGGCAACGATTCCTACCATATACATGCAACAGCTAACCTAGCCAGAACTTCAATATTATCAAAAGTAAGCGACATTTTATCTATCGTGAACTTGTTTGCAGCGCAACACCAGAAACACAAACAAGGAAGGAGCAAAAGATAAAGAAAGACGGTGCTGTCTTTTCAACCAAAAAGCGCCGTCTATTCCTCTTTTGTCTGTGTTTCTGGTGTTGCGCTGTAAACAAGTTCACGATTATTCCCAACCAACTGGCCCAACTTGCCGTCTGACATTTTATTCCACGGTACCGTAAGCTTCGGTAAGCGAAATAGAGATCGCTCGTACGCACCACATACACATCTTTCCTTTGCTACTTAATGTGCTGTGTTTATCTCTATTCCCTCTTTCCTCTCTATCTTTCATCTCCCTCATCCCCCTCCTATGCGCAGGGTAGAAAACTGGTTGCCTACAGACTTGTTAACCTCCCTGCCCTTCTTTTCCTTCTATTTCCGTCACTTTCCTTAACGCTTCTTTCACAGCAGCCAGATTTTAATGATTACAACTTGTTTTTTTTGTGTGTGTGCTACCAACAAAGTTTGACGAGATAAACAGTGCTCCCAAAAGCTTTGTTCCTTTACAAGAGCTCTTTCAGCAGAGCATTGGCACTGCGCTCGAACTGAAAACTTTGGGTGAGCACGATGAAAACACCTCAAAATTACATCAGCTGGCTTCGGCGTTATCACCATTTCTGGACTGGACTTATTTGCTACATGTAGGCTACATGAGATCCAGAACTGATGTGGCATCTTGGTTTTTATAATAACAGCGTCATTGTTGCTAGACCGGCTACATTATTCCAATTTAATAGAGGGATGCTCGGTAGGTGTTACAGGGAAGCAAGAGGAAAATGTTCTCATACTAGTAGCTGAACAATGCCCCTATAATATTGCATTAATTGGCTGCCCTGTTTTTCCATTGTGCTCTTAGTGAATCAAACCAAATCAAATCAAATGAAATCAAATTTTTATTTCCACCCTGTACAAGTATATTCTTGCATGTTTACATGCATCACCCTAATCATTATCCTTCTTTGTCTTTCAACATATTTACCTCAAATAATAGTATATGCGCACACGGTATCTAGAGGATATTTGTACTACTGAAGAAAACAAAGTCAACTGTCCCTCGCCGACTAAGGCCTAAAGAGATACTAAACAAAAATTGGGGGGGAAAACTGACGAAAACCACAAAATTCTACTCGGATGATGCGACTGTTCCGATAGTTTTTTTTTAATCAAATTTTTGAACAGTTGGCTGTATTCTTCATAGCTTCTCATCGTGTGGAATCTGCACGCGAGCGCAAGCCGTGACGTCACAATCACTGAGACGCATGCAGGGTGCTTGTGTTCCTCTTTTACTCTTACTTAACTTTTTCTTCCTCCGTTCATACCATTTTGCACTTTCCACAAAAGCGTTGACGCTTTAGCCTAGCCACAGCTTTGCTCGCAACCGGTGTTGTGTGAACAGCACCGGCTGCGCAATCGATTCTCGAAACCGATTACGGAACTGAGCGAGTCTAGAGGCACGGTCTACGGCAGACACTTCTGGCTTGCCCGCTTTGAGCGTGTGTGATGTCAACAAACGTCACCTCTTTTAGTTCATGGCGTGGCCGCTAGACGTGGCAGTATGTGAAAAAACACTATAAATTCATTATTTTTCCTGCAGTTTCTGCTTGAAATGAAGGTTCTTTCTATAGATTTCAGGGCCAAATCTTTCAACTTTATTGAACATTTTGGTGGCAAAAATGATCTTCAGTATTCATTTAAGAAACAGCCTTGCTGGTCGATCTTAGGGGCTTAACGCGGCCTTTTTGGCTGATGCTGTGGCCTTCCTTAGCGTAGATAGAGTGAAGTGAAACCACAGCCTGCCACGGGCTTTGCAAGAATATTCCAACATTAGCGCCCGAAACTCATGCACAAACTGGTGGCGGCTACCGTGATAGAAGCGTGGTCCATACGCCGCTTGTGCTAGGCTCGCGCCACGCCAGACAAACCGGACGCGACGGCTGGCTGCAAGGCGATGTCCTACCGGCGATGGCTTTTCAGCTGGTAAATTCAGGTGGTTTGCATTTGTGGTTTAGTTGTTGCTAGGCAATGGCATGGAGAGTATATTTTTTCCTTTGCTGACGAACGGGCGTTTTACCACGAGCTTTAACAGCCACGTGGTTACAAACAGAAAAACACCCTGAGGGGAAACATCATCTTCGTCGCAGGTGCTCGTCGAGACGAAGACGGCTACTACTGGATCACGGGTCGCGTGGACGACATGCTGAATGTGTCGGGCCACCTCATCTCCACGGCGCAGGTCGAGGCGGCACTGCTCGGCGTGCACGACCTCTCCGAGGCGGCCGCTGTGCCCAGGCCCCACAAGGTCAAGGGACAGTGCCTCTACTGCTACGTCGTCCTCAAGAACGTCAGTATACGAACAACTTTATTGTTAGCAGGTTCTTTCAATACTTTTCTTCTGAAAATGAAGCTCTCATTAAAGTTTCGCATCGGTGTGAAAACGGGCACCTGATGCGTCGTTGTTAGCAGAAGGCGGCCGATTTGCTTCGATTGGTTAATCAAACACTCGTGTGATCGCGTGATTTTTTCGCAGTCAAAAATTGGTGTAGTTTGTTTTATTGTGAATGGTCAGTGCTTATTGTAGACCAAATAATACAGCGGCGGCGCTGTCATTGGTTCATGTAATGGTTCGTCGGAGAACGTCCAGCAATGGTTCGTCGGAGAATGTCCATCAATACTGTTTCGCTTGGGCTCATACCTATACACCTACTTTTTTGAAACCAGTGAATTGCTTACTGTTAAGATGAGCTTGTGTATTGCTCCATGAATTAGTCTAGATGACCCACAAATCAAGATCGCTTGAGAAAGAAGTTATGATAGCCCTTATTGCACGTTCGTAGTCCACAACGCTCATCTCCTGCTAATTGGCAGTTTATTCTAAAGCCGCCAATGACAACTTCCCGTGCAGAACATGCAAGTTAGCATCTTGGCAAACGCAGGAGCAGCTGTCAATTATGTTCAGTTAGAGTCAACCGATCTATCCGGTTCTGCTGTTTCGAACCAAACCTAGCACCATCTAATTATTTTACATTCTCTTGAAAGTTATTTGGACCTTTTCAGTAACAAACAAATGCTCACATATCGTACCGATGAAATAGCTTACCTTGCCGTTTTATGTTGTTTCAAATTTTCTTTAGAATTTATGTACAACCTCATTCGGTGATGCATATGGGGTGTAATGTAGCGGGGTGGTAGCGGTATGAGATGTTTCACAATTTACCGTGCTATGTCGAATATCTAGTGCAATAAGTGAGAACCTTGAACTGTCCCGAATGTGAGCTGAAATATTGAATCCGTAACTGCGTTCATGTGTTGATAAAAATTTATATTATCACAGATGGCTAACGTCAATAGTAATTCAATACAACCTCATAGCATTTGCTTTCTATGGACATAGGATACAACCAAAACACAGTTCAGTTACATGGGCACAAAACATGAAGTGGCTTGAAGGCAACACGTACAGTCGATGCGCCACACATGCAAACGCATGCATGTGCACAACAAATACACACAAACATACACAGAGAGAGAGAAATCTGCCACAAAAATATATGTGGATATATGCAGATTACATGGTAAACAAAAAGCACAAATAAAATGTTTTTGATACATTTTGTGAATTTACGCGGCACGTCTACCGGTACCGAACAAGACATCAACCAACCAAAAATAGGCAGGCTGAAAGACAGCTTCACGCGTCTGTTATGGACTCTCTGTCATTTTTTTATTGTCTCCACTGCTTCTGCTTTTTTTGTGTGTGCTGCTGGTATTTAGATCACGACTATATGTAATAAATAACCCGACAAGCCACCCCAATGAACTCGTTTTTTAGAATATACTTCAAACCCAACATCTTTCCCGTGAATCAAAGTGACAGGTTAACTCAGGTACAAACTCGTGGCTTTTGAGAAGGCCCCAGTTAGTCATAAGCCCGCATCGCCTCTCTCGTGAAATTTATCCCTCGTTTCTTTTAAAGGCGCATTGAAACACTTTTTCAGGTAACGATGAAATGAATTCACTGCAAGAGCTTATTGCCTGACCAATTCAACGACGCAAATATTTTAAGAATCCGTCCAGTCCCAGTGGAGTTACAAAGGTTTGTCGCGTGCTGCAATTGCACTCTCTCTTCTCTCGTCCCGACGAAAGCGCTGGAAGCTAAGCAACGAGGGATGGCAGGGCCACAGAAAAACGTCGCGCACACCTCGCGACCTTGAGCACTTTTTTTTTTCTTCGAATGCGCGGCTTTGTCAGTGTGATCGCTAGCGCACGCGTGGACAAGTAGAGGCCTCCCGCGGCGGTCTCTGTACCGAGCGAGCGCGCCATGTTCAAATCAGCCAATGGCTGATAGATGGGTCATTGACGTGTGATTTTCGGGCATATAACGTGATTTGTCGAGACAGAAAAAAAAACAATTTTTAGCTGAATTTGATAATTTATTGTGAATTCAAGGCCGCGTTCTGTACTATAATATTTGACTCGCGTGTTGTCGGGAGCCTCTGCTACCGATCGGCAGCGTTTTCTGACCATGCTCAAAAAGTGCTGCACGGCCCGTTTAAGTAGCAGCTTCTACGCATACAAAATAACTTGGGTCAGATTGCACTACTTGTACAATGCTGGAGCCATCAGAGGAGCTCAGTCTCTCAATTAAAATTGCCAATTTACCCGGGAATTTATAAGCATAATATGGAATAGCTGTGTCTTAGCTGGAAATGTTTTTGTTAATACGGTAATATTTATTTACGTTAATAACGAAATCATGATTAGCGCGTAGGTAGTTTGCATAATCCTTACGAGCACGACCTTCGTGAGAAGATCCTAATTAGTTCGGTGTTGATACGCTCCTTCTTATAGCCATGTTAATTATTGTGGTCTTAATTATCTCGGTCTCAGCATCACAAAGCTTAATTAGCTTGGTCATAGTGTCTTGACTTAATTAGCTAGGTATATCAGCCAGCCATCCAGCCAATCAGCCAGGCGCGTGTGCACGGGGAGCGAGCACACGACGAAGAAGGAATCGAAAATGACGCGTACGCCATGGTCTGACGCGCTGAAATGCACAGGCCAAAAGCATCGGGGCTTAGCTTTGGCTGTGGTGTTGTATGACGCCCAGCCGGCACTTATCTCGGAGGTCACGGTTCTAATTTTTCTAAAGGATACTTAGTACAGACAATAAACTCTTGAAGATGAAGGGCCCGTACCTCTAAAAACATTTTTAGTAAAAATTTTGGGCACTTTTCTTGAATGGCTGCACAATTCGCAATTTTTTTAGACTATCTGCTATAACTTCAGCACCTAAGGCATTTTTAATTTGTTGCATGCTAAACAGGCCTTTATCACATATTTTAATTGTATCGTTTTAGCCTGCCGTGTTCGCGGAGAAAATTCCAAATTTGGCAACTTCGTTCATATTGCTCGTGGGAAAAGCACTCAAAGAATAGATATATATATATAAGTCATTTTTTTTACGGTTGTATCATTTCGTTACCTTGCCGGAAATACTGTTTTATCGAGCGCATTCCAAAAGCATCTTTAGGAAAATTGTCGTTTGACGTCCTCTATCTCCGTCGGCGCTAAACGACAGACTCTCATAAATAGGGAGGAAAACATTTGGCAACATAAATAAATGGCCCGGACGAGTTCCGCACTTTAAGAAACATGCGGAAATTTTTAGCCATATTTGTGATGGTCAGATAAATGCTGGATGATTTGGCATGGGATAATAATAATAATAATAATAATAATAATAATAATAATAATAATAATAATAATAATAATAATAATAATAATAATAATGTTGTAAAATAACGCCTTTTATTTCTTCAAATAAAGCGGTACATGGAGCTAGGCCAGCTCAAAATCACTCGTCATAGCCGTTGTATCCGCCATTGGCTGATTTCAGCATGGCGCCTCGGTCGTTACAGGGATCGCCCCGACTTGTCCCCGCTTGTACGCGTGATCGCACTGAAAAGTCGCGTATTCGAAGAAAAAAAATGACAAAAAGCGCTCAAGGTCATGAAGCGTGTATGCCGTATTTTCTATACCCGTACCATCCCTCCTTGCTATGCTTCCGGCACTTTGCTTCCATGACGAGAGAACATAAAATTGCAGCGTGCGACAGATTTTTGTGACTCCACTTGTACAGGACAATAGTAGGTTCTAGTCAACTATATGCAGGATGAATTCTAAAAATGTCTGCGGTGGTGAATTCGCGAGGCAATAAGCTTCTTTGATGAATCCATTACATGGATACTTGAAAAAGTGTTACGGGGCCCCTTTAAGTTTGTTTTACATGCCAGAAATTCTGCACCAAGATTGGAACGACAGCTGCCGCGCGAGCCCAGGACAGGTTTCTATAGAGTATCTACTATATATGCCGTGATGAACATCGACAGAGTTAGAAAAATTCGCTCGTGGAAAAGCGTCTGACCAATGAGGGAGCAGTGACGTATGAAACACGTGACAACAAGGGTGGAGACGAGAAGCGGGCGCTCGCCCTGAAAGAAACTCGCTCTGATGGGAAATGTTTACCGTACTGCCGAGTACGGCAAACATTTCCTATCAGAGCGGCGGGCATCGCGCAAAAGCGGCGCATGTGAAACGAACTCGCGTCCTCGCGTCATGCTGCCGCTCATCGCCGCGACCACCGCCACTCAGTCACCCGCATGTGAAACAGGCTTAACTTTTTACGAAACTGACAGCCTCATCGTAGCGGCTATAGTGTGCTGAAACATTTCTGACAGATGAAACACATGAATGTATACCTGAAGTCGTAAAGTTATACATGATAGTTTGTCTGGGTAAGCATTGATGTCTCTTGGGTATTAGCGTAACGTATGCATGCGGGACATACCTATTTGGGCAAAGTCACTGCATCATTTCTCCTTCCTCTTCTTCTCTTTTTTTTTTGTTTCGAGAGAGTTGTTTTTCATTGACCTGAAAACATTTATTTGTTTTTCTCTGCAGGGAAAAAACTTTTCTGAGGACCTCAAGACTCGGCTCAAGCAAAGTGGTGAGTAACGTCAGGTCGAATCGAATAACCTGAATTTGGAAGACACCATTAACTGCTTGTCGGAACGGCGAACAGACTAATTAAATGCGCCCGGTGAACATAGGCCACCTCTAAATTCCTCTAGGCACCCATTTGCACCATCAACTCTAGTGGATGTGATCCCAAAAGCAATAATATCAAATCACAAGAGAAAGAGAAAGAACCGTTAAACTGCATGCACATGACGTCTGACGCAGCTGTCTCTTAGCGTTCGTAAACTTAGCCTGCACGCCTGTCGTTCTATTAATCTCACGCAGTCATAAGAGTGCGTAGAAACACGGGCAAGGAGGTCGACGCAAGCGCTAGCCCTTTATTTTCACACCTCGTTTCACAACTTTTATTTAGGTAAAAAATGCGACAGTGGAACAAATGCGACCCACTTTTACGACGTATATATATATATATATATATATATATATATATATATATATATATATATATATATATATATATATATATATATATATATATATATATATATATATATATATATATATATATATATATATATATATAGCTTTTTCCAGGTCCGCGTTTTTATGCCCACCGCCATAAAACTAAAATAACTGTGAAATCAACGTCAAGTCGGTCGCGCAGGCAAGAACAAGAAATAGTTCAGTCACACACTGTGCTTCACCTCGCTTACTCATCGAATGTGCCGTTTCACGCGATATCGTAATTTCGAAAGTACAAGCGCCTATGCAAAGGACACCTCTTAATTGGCTCGCGGTCTGCTTACTGAATGACAAGCGTCGAAATATCAGATCAGAAGTATACGCTTAAGGCAGTCTTGATGCTATCTCTTTCCTTGTGGCTCTTGCGTGACTAACGCAAAATCATTATTATAAATGCTGAGGAGCCTATATATATAGTTGGCTGTGTTTGCCGTTGTAGTCACCTCTCCATTATCTCACTTCGAAAGGCCGTGAGGCATATGGCATTTTGGCTAATGAACTTCCTATCTCTAGTGGACAGGTATATTAGAAGTCGCGTGAGTCCAAGCACCAGCTTCGCAATATGAAACAAATAGAGACGACACTCGACTTGACACGACAACGGAATGCACCCGTAGCGAGAAGAATGACTACTGAGACCCGAGCTCACCTGCCCTTCAACTACAGAGGTTAACGAAAACTTGGGAAACCCCACGTCTGTAAAACAAAGGGCTTGTCTCAGTCATGGCATGAGGACATGCTTCTTTGGGCGCATTAGTGAAAAGTGTGGCTCAGCTATGCTTCGCTTGACGAGTTTTCAAAGCGCTAAGTCATAATGAAACAAAGGTTCGTTTGCGCGAAGTTGATATATTCGACACGTGTGTTTGTCAGTAAATGTTAGTTGAAGGTCTAAAACTTGCTTTTTTTGTGAGCTGCTGTTTGCTTTGTGATTGCCAATGAAATTATGATCTCCGTGAAGACTGCCAAACTTCTGCTACATCGGCAGTCCGGAAAGCGCTCACGTCAAATAATGCCAAATAATACTACAGAAATATAAAATCTTTAAATGCGTCAGTGCTCTTTACTTGCATGGAAATCCCTTTCTCCAGTGACGCTAAAACTACATCCCTAAGTGTGAGTGTAAGGCAGGAACCGATACACACACCTTGCTTCTGAATACAAAGGCAGTCCTCCAAACGTACGTGAGTCGCCTGCAGATAAAAATCGAATCTCTAAAAAAAAAGCTAACAGATAGCCTAGTGGTGATCTGAAAGTTAACGGCGCCAATCTGGTCAATGCAATGTTCAGCACACTTCAAGATGAGAGCTTGCAGCTTCAAGATCAGATCTTCCACGTCTACTCAAATCCCAGTAAACTTGGTTTTATCGTATGTGCTTAGGAACTCAACAACCACTTCTGCATTTCGAATCTTCAATAACAAGGCATTTCAGCTTGTCCTGTAAGAACCAAGAGATGTGTTCTTGCCAGGTTTCTTTCTCTGAAATAATGACCCTTTAGGCGCACTCAGTCTTGTGTGTTCTCGCACTGAGAAGCATCCATATCTAACCTAATTTGCTACTTTCAATTTACTCGATAGTTTTTCGAGTGAAAACTTAGCACAAAGCTTCCTTCCTGCATGTTTCAACTTCGCAAGTGACGTGTCATGCTGAGCGAAAAAAACACGTTTGAAATGGTAGTAGTGCCTTAGACTTAAAAATGTCAATTGAGAAAACTGAAAACCCACCCTCATTGTCGGCTGGTAGCACATACTGTATTTTTACTGTATTTTATTTACTAGTTGCAGTATTTTCAGATACCAAAATACGGTCACGAATAACCAGCTAGCCCGATTCAGTGCCATAATGAAGCTCACTTCTAGATTGACTGACCAGGTCTGTGAGCTTCATTTCAGCTGTGTGAATAGCTGTGCGTGCATTTATTTCCTCTTCGGTGGGCGTTTGTGCTTCATATGTACTCGTACGATGACTGCGTGTGGCTGCTTACACCTATTGAATAGCTTGTCATTCTAAGGCCTCCAGCATCTCATCAAAGTAAGGTGTGGGCACGGTCTCGTTGGTATTTCCTGGCAAATGTGACTGTAGCGCATGTGAAGCTAACAAACGTACAGAACGACGAAGGCTGTCTGTCGTATTCACTACATTTTACTGTTGTCATTGGTTAAAGAAACACCTTCCTCGTCAGCCTGCATGTGTATAACCTTCGGATGCGCCGCGAACACATATTATTAAAGAGACACTAAAGAGAAAAATGATTTTTCATATCTGCGAATTACTATATTTAACACTACCAAACTAACCACGCTTGCCACGAGAAGACGCTTGGTAAGCGAAAAAACGCGCAAGAATAAAATGCGGGTCGGGATGCCACCTCAAAGTTTAGCAACAGTCACCGTGACGTCACACGAATCTCAAAAGCATCCACTGGTGCACACGTCGTTCATAATGGATAAAAATGAAGAACTGTCATCTGACGGGGCCAGACCATTCACATATAAATGCCTCAGAAAATTTGTTTGACCCAATGTCATGATTGTAGAAAAAATACAGATTGAAATACGGAATGGCAAGCGCGGAGACTTCGGCCCCAAATTTTAAAAATGATATCTCGATCTTGATTTTATTCTCTATTAAATATCCTATGATGGTGAAATTAACGTCATTGAAGTTTACAGAGTACGATTAGTCAATCTAAGCATTCAAGTGAGCATCCTCCGCATTACGCAGTGCGCTCCAAGATCGGTGCCTTCGCGGATCCTGAGTACATCCACTGCGTCGAGCGGCTACCCAAGACCCGGTCGGGCAAGGTGATGCGCCGGATACTGCGCAAGATTGCCTGCAACGAGCTCGAGTTTGGCGACGTGAGCGCGCTCAGTGAGCAGGACGTCATCTCCGAACTTCTCCAGTCCAAGTGCTTCATCCAGAACGGACACTGAGGCCACAGCGACATCACTGCAGAAACATCCTCGCAATCGGCTTTCCGAAGCTTGCTCTGTCGCTAGCTGTCCGTGAAGGGCCATTGCCCTCTTTTTCCTAACACACCCGTTGATTAGTAGGTGCGTGGTGCTAAACAAAAGCGTAATAGCGAGAGGTGAGACCTTCCGTCATTAAAGGGGCCCTGAGACAACGGTATCTTCAGCAATTCGCCGAGTTTCAGTTTTGCGCTGGCTCTGAATGACGGTTCATTCTCTCCAAGTTCGACGTGACTATGTGTCATTTAGTAGTGACTGCTGTTAATCGTTGTGTTCTCTAAAGTTAATTTGCAAAATAATAGAAGATGAAAGCATGAAACCTTTTTGTGAGAAGCCCGGTGGTGTGACCCTCCCCATATAGTCACTGCGCATACGCTGTGGTTTCGTTCCAACATCCTTCCCACATTACATATCGCTAACGTCTATTATTTTTTTGTTTACTCTGGCCTGGCTGCCGCTCTCTCTTACGAAATTCGTGCCCATCGTGAATACCTGCTATCTGCACTATTTGCTATGCTATTTGCAAGCACTTTCGCACTTTTTCTTGCGCTAGTGCTTCCGTCTGTTTCTTTTTTCTAGTTTCCTCATGCGTCACTTCAGATCCAATGTTGTTACATGCGCGAAGATTGCTCTTTATTCTTGTTTGATTATTGATTTGCTTTTGTACACCTGCGCTACGTCACCCCCGGACAATTAACGTTGAGCTCGAACCACGATGGAGCCCCTACCACCTAACTGGTTCCAACTAAGAGCAACTGATCAATAACATCCGCTCACCCATCGCACTCTCATTCCGTAACTATATACGTCGTGGCGTTGTAATATGGTATTAACACTATTGCGCCCACATAGCGGCTAAGAGTTCACAGCCATTGCAAGCTCGGCCTCACAGTGACGCGCTGCAGTTGCATGCATCGATGACAACCGAGGATGTTTCAGGGCCCCTTTAAGAGCTTGCCTGCTCCTCTATTTCACACTAGCATTTTTAAGGTGTGCTTAAGTGGTCACCAGAAATGGCACTGTCTGGATTGTTACAAAGTTACAAGCACACTGCATCTACCATGGTTTTAAAAAAAATGCACCGATTAGCGGAGCTCCACCACCACGACTTCACTGAAAGATAAGCGTATATTCAAGATTGTTTAAAGCACGAGCATTATAAACCAGAGAAGAACCGCGAGAAGATAGTTTTTTGTTTTCTAATATGTACAGACCGAGCTGATGTATAACAAACTGCACGGTACGTCAAATATTGCGTACCCGCTGCGATTTGATGTGATCCAACATGTGTAAACGAAGTTTTGTGTAGTTGTTTGCTGCGCTAGAGTTTCTATTGAAAGTAAACAATGAAAAAACAGAACCTTGCAAGAGTTTGTTGTCTGAAAAAGTATCAAGGTAATCGGTACATATGAGCAGTTGAGGATTTCAGTACACAATCTCTAGAGAGAAGCCTGTTGATTTATTCAAGGGGTACTCCAGAAAGCAAAGAACAGTATTTAATAAATTACTCTTGGTATATAACCACTTTACCGTGGTTTCAAAGACGTGCATAAGAACTGCATGCAATCTTTAGCAAAAGTGTAATCTGCCGCACAGACGGACTTTGTGAGGGCTTCAGGTAAGACGCCGTCATGTTCTTGTGACTGGTGAAAAAGTGGACGACGCCGAGTACGTTATGATCAGTCGTGAGAAGCTCACGGATTAGATCCAGACCATCGCCGAAGAGCATTCGGACCACTTCACCGCTGCTTCAACTACTTACGACATACGAATAACGTCTTCTGACGAGCTAGTTGTTGTGAGAAGAGAATCGTAGGCGCAGAACGAAGGGCAAAAAGGCGTCCCTTCTTCTGAAGCAAGGTGTGGGAGCGGGCTAGTTGGTGTTCCATGTCTTTAACAGCTGCAGTTCGAAAAAAAGGTAACCACGAACTTCCCTTGGTCCGTGGTTACCTTTTTTGCACTTTAGCTGTTTAAGTCTTTTCTTCGTTGCGCGCCTACCATTTCCTTCCCAGCGACATACGAACTGCCAGAAACCCTGACGTCTAAATAAAAGCATATTTAGGAAAGCACTGTACCGCACATGTGCTCAAGTCAGAGCAATATTTACAGTAATCAGTAAGCGACTTTGTTTGGCCTGTCCTCAAGCCTAAAACACGTAGTGAAATTACCATCAGAAGATTACGTTTATTTGATAGCATTTTTTGAAGAGGAAATAAGAGAGAGCATGAATAAGGAATGCAAGGAGGTTTAGTACTATACCAAGGCTGCATTGGCCTGATTAACATTGCACGTAATAGACACATACATACGTACGGCGCAAGCTGCTAACAACTATTCTATTGCGAATACGTACACTGTGACCATTTTATTTGGGGAAAATTATTAGAAGAAACGAAAGTAAAAGTGGCTACGATTCGTCGCGTTCTCGTTCGTACAAACTAAAACAATAGAGTTTGACTTTTACTGGAGTTCGATTGCTTCGTGATATACTATAGACTAAGCGTCGAAAGAAAAAAGGCCACGAGACAGGATAAAAAGCTGGACGTTCCCGCTGCTTTGGCAGGTAGACTCCAAGTTGGATTTTCTGCCATGGACATCGGCAAGGGGAGGGGGAAGTACAAAAGAGCGCTACCCCCCCCCCTCCCCGGCAGTTGCCCCCATCCAAGCTACACCAGCGCTACCCCTTACCCTAGCGGCGACGGAATGTGCACATGCCAACTCCCATGTTTCCGGCTGGATCTCAAACGCACTATTAACACGTACTGTACCGCTGTGCCTAATACCAGCGCAAATTGCGAGAAAGACAGTTTTTTTTTTTGCTTTTAGACATTTGGCGCCGACAATGTGTACACGAGCAAAGCGTTTCTGTCGAGTACCAGAGACGACGAGTGGCTGTGTGGAGACGAGAAGATCGGTGCCTTTTCGCATGCGTGCCCGGAAAACGTTACGAGGATCACACGGATACGATCACACATACAGCACCAACGCCGCCCACCAACAATCCTCCCCGACGTCCGCCTGTACGACCTCGTGCAAGCCTATCGTGTCTGCCATGCCGACGACCAATAACTAGCGCCAAGGCATAAAAGCTTGCCGCCTTGCTCCTCCGCATGCGTGTGCGCACACTTCACTAGATGTCGCTTGCATCAGAATCGGCACTGATGTGTGTCGCGTACACTACACCACTCGCTGTGCCGAGTACTTTCATTGCTGCTGCCGTATCGGGAAGTCCGCTTCAGGTGTGCACACAAAAACGAAGCGTGAGGCAAAACAAGGGGAAGGTGATTAAGAGGGTCGGTCGTATTTAGGCCCAACAAAGGGCGTGGTGCGGCCACCCGTGAACTGGTGTGGCAACGCTTAGCACATCCTCGTGTACCGCGAGGGAGAACACACAGCGACAAGCAATGAAGTGTGCATCGCGCTATCGCGTAGAATGCTCGATCATGCGTCCTCGTTGACAGTGAGCGTTCTGTCACTGCTTCGGACACGTGCATACACGGCTGGCTACACAAAATCAGCTAACAGTCAAGTTAGTAAAATAAGCGAAGTGATCAGCTTTTTTTTTTTTTGAAAAGATAATGGGGCGTCGCGTGCTGGCTAGGGGGCGCTATCTAGCTTCCACTTATCAGCCCAGTTTCGCAGAAATCGTCTGGTAGGGCTGCTAAGAAAAGTGCCCTGCAGATAAAAAAGTCAAGTACTTCGTGGTTCATTGCTCATCGCATGAAACACGTGTGCACATGGAAACTTTCAGATGACGCGCACTTTTGCTTCTTGCTGAAAAATTTAACGCCGCGGCTAATGTTTAGCGCACCTACCCAGATTAGCTTCCTGCTCTCGTTAAACTACGCGTTCTGTCGCTGCTGTCGCTGTAGGAAGTTCGAGTGCACCTCGCTTATCCATGGACACCACGAACTTTGAAGACGCTATAAAGAGTGCGCTAATTTCGAAAAACTCCCAAGCATTTCCCCGAGGGTGAACATGGTTAAGTGCGAATACACGGGGTGAAGCTATGAGGGGTATTTATTAATTCGCACTATTATATTTATTTATCACACTATGGTGCCTTTATGGTGTAATGGTTCCTGGGAATCGCAATTTGATCACACGGGGGAGTTTACGTTAACTCACTGGCGAATGCCAACGGATTTTAACTTTAACTCCCCCTCACGACCCGCTCTCAACGGGAGACTGAGAGAGAAGGCGGGCGCGCGAGAGAGAGGGGTGCGCGCGCAGCTGCAGCGAGCGAGGAGAGTGGAGGAGCGACACCGATATCAACGTCACGTCCGTGGCTTATTCGGTAGAGCGTCGCGCTGCGGCCCGCCAAGTCCTCTTTCTTTTAAAGATAGAGAGAAGACTGCGGACGCCGCCGACGGCGGTGGATGGTTTGGGGTCGCTTATTAAGTGTATTCACACTTAAAAGTGCTTCTGGTACTGCTTCGCTATTTAGGAGCTGTTCGATGCTGCCGCGTCATTCTCATTGGGAAAAAGCATTACAAAAAAAAAAAAGACGAGGGAGAAACGAAAGAACCACTGCTCACAGGCAACAAACAAACATACAAAGAACCAGCGCTCGTCTCCTTCGCTTGAGCTCGGTCTCCTGCATGCTGTTTTTCCCGATTACAACTGTGTGACAATCTAGCGGAACGAACAACACGTCGTTTTCACTGCGTCTCCGTTGGGTGCTAATTAGTGAACGAAACGTGCGTGTGTAGACGCCTTTGGCGCAGCGCGGGCGCCAACGCCAGTGGCGATTCTTTGGTGAACCTGCGCGACTGCGAGTGTCAGTGAAATATAGCACCCATTATATTAATGAGCGCAGTGTGGTGAGCAGCGATACAAATGAATCGATTATGTGCTGGCGTTAGGAAAGCTTACGGGCATCCGAGTGCCATAGATTCACACCTGGATGAGGTAAGCGCAGCCAACTACCTTTTTTTCTTTTTCTTTCTTTAGCGGAATATCGTCTACGTGTGTGGTGGTGATGGTGATGATGATCATCGTGACAACCGTTACTGAACACCCCCATCGTTTTAAAGGTGACAGGCCTCAGCTGAAGGAGCATTTTTGTTTATGTGGATGGGAATCGTCTCTTCAGAAATTATCCTTATCGGGCTTTAAATAAGAGCATTTCTTGACATTGCTGAACACTGTATTTAATTTGTATCAAATC